TGCATAGCAAATACCTGAAAATGCCATGGCCTGAACCAGGTTCTCAAACTGACATCATTACTTTTCAGTAATATGAAGGTGTCCCTAACTACAGACTGGCCCAGTGAAATACATCTCCTGATCTCCTGACTGCTGGTACCAAGGGTATTGATTGTAGATCTAAGTAAAATGAAGTTGGTGACAGTTTGAATCTTTATCTATCATAATGCTGCCTGTTGGTCCAGTGGAAAGAATTTTTCTTTTCTTGATGTTGAGATGTAATACATATTGAAGGCTGTAGTCTTTGATCTTGTGCAGCAAGTGCTTCAGGTCTTCCTCGCTTTGAGCAAGCAAGGTTGTGCATAATGCAGGCTGCTGATGAGTCTTTGTCCAATACTGATTCCACATTTTTCGGAGTCCAGCTTCTCAAATGATCTGCTCAGCATATAGATTGAATAGATAAGGAGAGAAGATACAACGCTGATATAAACCTTTTTAAAGTCAAATGCATCTGCGTAGTAGGTAAAACACAGATAAACATTCTTCTGGTAGTTTTTGCTTTCATCCAGGATCCACTGGACATCAACAGTGTTATCCTTGGTGCCACAGCCTCTTCTGAACCTAACTTGAACTTCTTGCAGTTCTCTATAAATGTACTCTTCTAGCAATTTTTGAATGATCTTCAGCAATATTTTACATGCCTGTGATATTAGTGATATTGTTCAATCATTTCCACAACCTGCTGAATCATCTTTCTTGGGAATGAGAACAGATATGGATCTCTTCCAGTCAGTCAGCCAGGCAGCTATTCTCCAAATTTTCTGGCATAAACTGGATTGATGTTAATACCAGTTGTTGCCAGGTGACATCAAGTTGAGTAAGACTCATACTGACCCTATGAATAGCAGATCTGACCCTTTCCAATCCTTTCCCATCCTCATAATCTCTAATATACTTGAGTCCACTGTAGCAGTCACTGTGTCAGTGCATCTGGTTGAGGATCTTCTCTTTCACCATCCCTCTACTTTTTCAAGAATACATGATGTGCCTCTCCAAGGTATAGCCTCTATGACCAAAGTATGCGAGACAAAGCTTTAGTAACTTAGCTTCAAGGAGCACTCTGGTTGCACCTTTTCCAAGATGTATCTCTGTTCTTTTGGCAGTCCATGGGATATACAGTACTATTCAGTACCACAAGTCAAAAGCATCAACTCTTCTGGCTTCCTTATTCATTGTCCAGCTCTCAAATTCATAGCAAGTGATTGGAAGGACCATGGTTTGAATTTTCTCATGTGAGAATCTTCTTGGAGTCCATTCTGGGACTAAGGCAGCAATAAAATAAAATTAATTGGGTTGTTCCAGTGTACCTGGATTGAAAACTACTAAAACTCTAACGTGAATCTAAAGGTGAAAGAATTTAAGTCAGGTGGTTTTAAAATCTATGGCCATTATCCCACCCAAAAATGACATTTTCTTTGGTCCTTTTTCAAACCCAATAATAAGCTTCTGTATCAAGTATGTTGTGCCATAGAGTTGAGTATAACTGATAAGAGACCCAGGTTCATGGTTCTTGAAATAGAAGGATCCTTGGGGTAGCTCTGGTGGCCTAGTGGCAAGAAGCTGCAACTACAATCCCAGAGGTGCATGGTTCGAATCCACCAGATGCTCTGCCGGGGAAGGAGGGGCAATCTCCTCCTGTACCAGTCAGATCCGATTTGACAGTACATGCACACAAAAATAATAAAATAAAAAGAAATAGAAGGATCCATCTTTATGTAACCTGCATTGACAAAGGAGGAAAACAGAAAAGGTTTAACAACTGGAACTATGCTGAGAAGCTATTAAATGTCTGAAAAGCTTTACATATGATCATTGGTGGGTATGGGCATAGGCACTGACAAAGCAAAATATTATTACAAATCTAAAACAAAGGCTGCGTCACCCTCGCCCCCAGAAATAGGATAATACTCTGAGGGGAAACAATGCAAAATGTTGGATCTCTAGGTTGGAAAACTAGAAGTTGTGGAAAATGGAATGCATGAACATCATTTTTTTAGGCATCAGTGAGATGAAATGTACTAGCTCTAGCCACTTAGAGTCAAATAATCACATGGTATACTATGCTCGGAATAAAAGACAAAAAAAAAAGGGTGTTGCTTTCATAGTTAAAAAGACGTGTTGAATGAAAGAATCTTTTCTTTTACTTTTCCATAATTTTTGGACTCATGTACTTATAACTTGTTAGTCAAATTTGTGTCTTCTAGGTTGCAACACCCCCATG